TCAGAAAAATTGAAAAATCGAAAAATCGAAAAATGTAGAATTTAAAAAAACGAAAAGTTGAATATCGAAAAACTGAAAAATCAAAAAAGTGAAAAATACAGAAATTCAAAGATGCCAGAACCGAAATATAGAAAAATTGGGAATCGAAAAATTGTAAAATCGAAATATCAAAAATTGGAAAATCAAAAAATCAAAAATTGGAAAATCCAAAAATCAAAAATTGATAAGCCGAAAAATCCAAAAACCGAGAAGTCGAAAAATCGAGAAGTTGAAAAAGTGAAAAATCAAGTAACCTGAAAGTCGAGAAATCGCAACAGCCCCAAATTGATCAATCGAAAATTAAAATCTGAAAAATTGAAAAAATTGGATTAAAAAAACTAAAAATCGAAAAATTGGAAAATCAAAAAATTAAAACATCGAATTCTCGCTAAATCGAGAAACCGAAAAATTGATAAAACTGAGAATTCGAAAAATTTTGAAACAGAAAAAGTGAAAAATTGAAAAATGTAAATTTAAAAAACAAAAAATCGGGAAATCAAAAAAAAAATCAAAAAGAACGAGAAATCGAGAACTAGAAAAATCTAAAATTTAAAAAATTAAGATACCAAAAAATTGAATAATCAGGAGTATGTTATTTTATAAAATTTAAAATGGATACAGACGCCAGACAGACAAACAGACAAACAGACGGAAACGGGAGCCCACTTTTTTCGTACTCTAGAGGTCATGACACGTCAAGAAAATATGAAGTGGCAATTCGCCCGATGGACTCGATTACTATATTAAAAAAAAAAATGAAAAATCTAAAAACTGAAAAATCGTAGAAGTGAAAAATCAAAAAATCGAAAAATCGAAAAAGGAATAATTTCAAAGTTCGAATATGTATCGAGAAATCGAAAATTCGAAAATTTTAAATCAAAAAACAAAAGTTGGAAAATCGAGATTTTGAAAAGTCGGAAAATGAAAAAAGTGAAAAATCAAAAAACCTGAAAGTCGGGAAATCGCAACAGCCCGAAATCGAAAAATCGAAAAATTAAAATTTGAAAAATTGAAAAATTGAGAATTCAAAAAAATAAAAAATTTGAAAAACCGAATAATTAAAAAATCATACAACTGAAAAATTGAAAAATGGAGAAACCAAAAAAGAAACAAATTCAAAGTTCGAATATCGAGAAATCGAAAATTCGATGATCAAATATTCGAAAAAATTATAACGCGAAAAATCGGAAAACCGAAAATTCCAAAATTTAAAATCGAAAAGCAAAAGTTCGAAAATAGAGATTTCGAAAATTGGAGAAATGAAAAAATAGAAAAGTCAAAAACTCGAAAAAAAAAGAAAAATGGAAAATTCGAAACTTCGAAAATTGAGAATTTGAAAAATCGAGAAACCGGAACATGGACAAATTAATAAATTGAAATATCCAAAAATCGAAACATCAAAAGATCGAGAAATCGAGAAATGGAAAAGTTGAGAAGTCGAAAATGGAAAAATTCTCAAAATTAAAGTATTGAAAAACAAAAATCGAAAACCTGGAAAATCGGGAAATCAAAAAAAGAAATGGAAAATTCTTAAGTTCGAAAAAATAAAATATTAAAAAATCGTAAAACAGAAAAATTGAAATATCGAAAAATGTAAAATTTAAAAAAACAAAAAGTTGAATATCGAAAAAGTGACAATTCAAAAAAATGAAAAATCTAGAAATTCAAAAATGCCAGAACTGAAATATAGAAAAATTGGGAATCGAAAAATAGTAAAATCGAAACATCAAAAATTGGAAAATCAAAAAATCAAAAATTGAAAAGCCGAAAAATTGAAAAATCATTAAACCTAAAAATCTAAAAATGGCAACAGCGCCAAATTGAAAAATCGAAAATTAAAATTTTAAAAAATTTATCAAATTACATTAGAAAACGAAAAATCGAAAAATTGGAAAATCAAAAAATTGAAACATCGCTAAATCAAGAAACCGGAAAATTGATAAAACTGAGAAATCGAAAAATTTTGAAACAGAAAAAGTGAAAAATTGAAAAATGTAAATTTAAAAAACAAAAAATTGAGAAATCAAAAAACTGAAATATCAAAAGAAACGAGAAATCGAGAACTAGAAAAATCTAAAATTTAAAAAATTAAAACATCAAAAAATTGAATAATCGAAAAATTCAAAAAGTCAAAAACTCAAACATCGAAAAATTGAAAAATCCAAGAAGAATTGAAGAACCGAAAAACTGGAAAATTCCAAAACTGAAACATTGAAAAACTGAGATCGAAAATTTGAAAAATCGAGACACTAAAAAGTCAAAACATCGAATAATCGAAAACTTGAAGAATTGAAAATCTGAAAAATCAAAAACCGTGATATCCAGAAGACGATAAACCGAAACGTCAAAAAATCGAGAGATCTGGAAAAAATCAAAATTTCAAAAAATCGGAAAATCTGCAAGTCAAAAATCCAGAAGTCGATAAGTTGATAAATCGAAAAATCAATTATCCAAAAATAGAAAATTTAGAAACGCCAATAATTTAAATATTGAAGAATCAAATAAATAATTAAAAAATTGAAGAATCTAAAAATTGTAAAATTGTAAAACTGAAATATGAGAAATAGAGAAATCGTAAAACAGAAAAAAAACAGGCAATCGAGATTTTGAAAAATCGAGAAATTCAAAAAATTAAATATTGAAAAATTGAGTAATCGAAAAACTGAAATTATAGAAATTGAAAAATGGGAAAATTGAAAAATTCAAAAATGAAAAAATTTTAAAACCAAAAAAGGAAAATGTACCAAAACTAATATATTGCAAAATTGAGAAATCAAAGCTTGAAAAATCGTGAAATCGAACCACCGAAAAGCCAAAAAATTGAAAATTCAAAAGATCGAAAAGCCGAGAAATCGAAAAATCGAGAAGTCGAAAAAGTGAAAAATCAAGCAATCTAAAAATCGAAAAATCGCAGCAGCCCCAAATTGAAAAATCGAAAATTAAAATTTGAGAAATTGAAAAAATTACATTAAAAAACGAAAAATCGAAAATTTGGAAAATCAAAAAATTGAAACATCGAATTCTCGTGAAATCGAGAACCCGAAAAATTGATAAAACTGAGAAATCGAAAAATTTTAAAAATGAAGAAGTGAAAAATTGAAAAATATAAATTAAAAAAAAAAACAAAAAATTGACAAATCAAAAAATTAAAAAATCAAAAGAAACGAGAAATCGAGATATAGAAAATTCTAAAATTTAACCAATTAAGATATCAAAAAATTGAATAATCGAAAAATTGAAAAAGCCCAAAACTCAAACATCGAAAAATTGATTAATTGATAAATCCAAAAATTGAAAAGTTCAAGAAAAATTGAAGAATCGATAAACTGAAAAATTCCAAAACTGAAACATTGAAAAACTGAGATCGAAAATTGAAAAATCGAGACATCGAAAAATCGAAACATCGAATAATCGAAAAATTAAAGAATTGAAAATCTGAAAAATGGAAAAACCGTGAAATCCAGAAGTCGATAAACCGAAACGTCGAAAAGTCGAGAAATCGGGAACAAAATCAAAATATCAAAAAATCGAAAAATCTACAAGTCGAAAAATCGATAAGTTGAAAAATCGTAAAAATCAATTATCCAAAAATCGAAAAATCAATTATCCAAAAATCGAAAATTTAGAAACGCCAATAATTTAAGTATTGAAGAATCAAATAAATAATTACAAAATTGAAAAATCTAAAAATTGTAAAATTGTAAAACTGAAATATGAGAAATAGAGAATCGAAAAATAAAAAAAACAGGAAATCGAGAATTTGAAAAATCGGAAAATTCAAAAAATTAAATATTGAAAAATTGAGTAATCGAAAAACTGAAATTATAGAAATTGAAAAATTAGAAAATCGAGAAATTGAAAAATGGAAAAATTTTAAAATCAAAAAAGTAACAAGTACCAAAACTAACATATGGCAAAATTGAGAAATCAAAGCTTGATAAATCGTGAAATCGAACCACCGAAAAACCAAAAAATTGAAAATTCGAAAAATTGGGAAAACGAAAAATTTCAATAGACACGATAAAAACTGAACATGGATTCATGTTACTTTTTATCATTTAACTAACATTTATTCAACAAAATTGTAATACTTGAAAGGGGACTTCATGAACGAATACAAGTTAAGCTGGAAAAAGTTGTTGTGCAATTTTGATTTTTTTTGCAAAAATCTGGATGTCTAGGATAAAAATCAACACGGATTCATAAACCACAACTGCAGAAGTGTCTTATTTTGTAATTTTTGCAGAAGACGTCATCCTATTGTTGCCGGGGATGATTAGCTCAATTTTGGTCAGCGTTTTACCATGTATACGATATTCATAAGACGCGTATAAATTTTGACAACAATCGGTCCAGTAGTTTCGGAGATTAACTGCCTAATAAAAATCCGGACAGACGGCAAATAGGCAGACGGAAACGGACGCTAGGGATAATGAAACCTTGAAAAAACATACTAAACTTTTAGTTGGAAGTCTTATTACAGTTTAACCCAACTTAAACAAATAAAAAAGCATTATAAGTTTTATACAAATCCTGTCGATTTTAGAACAATTTTGTTGTGGACATTATCAATAAAGCTCCTCTTTCTCACTTGTGGCAAATTTATTTGTTTATACATTTTGAAATTAAAAAAAAGGATACTCATAGACGTCATAACGATGCGTTGTGACCTTGAAATGTCAAAATTATGGTATAGGTATAGGTAAAAATTTTAAATAATTTAAACAACAATGTTTTTATTATCTTTCATAAGGTTATAGACTCAAATTCAAAGCCCGAACTTCGGCGAACAAAAAACTATTTTTTCCCTGAGCTAGACGTACAAAATGGGGTTTCTTATTTATTAATTTGTTACTGAGCCGGGTTTCCATCTCTGGCGTTAATCGTGCATGCGTGCCCGCTGAATGTTCTGCGTCCATTCGGTCCGCGATAATTAAAACTTCGAAATTGAATTGTTCCAGATCTTCAAAGGAGCGTTTGTTGGGTTACTTCCGACTCAGCAATCGGAAGTTGAGACAGTCGTGTGAAACGGTAATAACAGCAGCTGGAACACCGGCGGTGCCGAGGGCCAAATGTAGCCACGTTGGGGTTGATTCGATCGTACCACAGGTGGACGACGGCCATTCGGACAACAACAGTTTCCAGCAGGATTTTGCTTCGTCCTGATGACATAAAGGAAGGCATTAGTACGTAACACTTTTTTCTTCCTTTATGTGCGATTTATTTCATCACGCAACATTTGCCACGGTTACGGTAAATAATGGCTAAAGCTGTTTCTGTGATGATTACCTCACGACGCTGGGAGCGTCACGTCACGTCGGCTCTTTTACTTCTATTTAATCAACGAGAGCTTTATAGAGGCTGACGAATCAAATCTCTTTTATTTACGAGCGAACACTCACCGCTGTTTGTTATGCGGAAGTTTAATTTAGTCGGAATGATTTTCTAAATACATAAAGGATGCACTTGAGGATGCTCGATTTGTCATGTCCACGAAATACAAATAGATAGGAACAACTGAATTTGGTTTACAAATTGTGTTGCATTTACGGAAGAGAAACGATTCAATATTTATTCTAGTAGTTGAGTTTTATTTTGTACATGTTTTTTTATCTACTTTCTACTGGGTTGCTAGAATGTATGGAAACGGTTAAATAAATATCTTGAAAAACAAATCAAGTAAAAATGGATATAAGGGTACAAGAAGTTGTGCTTTAATTATCGTAAAAAAATTTTTTTTTGGATCATTTGTTTTCGAGATGCAAGGCCAACTTGATTGATTCTAAATCACACTACCATACAATTAATACATTTTTGAATAGAGCTTTTTTTCTGAATTCATTGATGTAGCATAATCATACTTTCTTTCTGATTGAAATGGAAAACTAAAGAATAAATAAAAAAAGAAAAATGACATCGTTACCTTTGAAAATAATTTTAGTTTTACATGTAAGGTGTTTCTTGAAAAAATTGTGGATGTAAGTTAAACTGAGCACATAGAATTATTAATGATTCATTCTGAGCGAGAACCGTAATTTATTTTGTCATTTCAATGAGAAACAAAGTTGATTGTGCTATATCAATGAATTCAGAAAAAAAGCTATATTCATAAATGCATTAATTGGCCTTGCATCCCGAAAACAAATGAAGCAAAAAAAATTTTTTTTTGACGAATAATAATAATTAGAACACAACTTGTTACACCCTAATTTCAGTTGATTTTTACAATTGGTTCTCAATTTCCATATATTCTAGCGATCCTGTATATACGAATGTACAAAGTTGAACTTTGTGTTGTCTGCTGCAAGTTTAAAGCTAACTGAACAAGCAATAACACCGCCCTAAGCTTTATAAAATTCCACGATAAAATAATGACTTGTAGTAACTACGTAAAATAAGCCCTGGCTTAATTTAATATCAAAATAACAATATACTTACATACAAAAATAGCAACGACCTCAAATTTTCATTTTCGTACTCTTATTACTAAATATATCACAAAATATATAAATTTTATTGTCAAAGCTGTTGTATAGACATGGTAACAAAGGACTATTGTTAGTGGTGATAGGTGTTTGGGACACTATAATAAAATGTTAGGGGCAATCTACACCTTATCCCTGGAACATAAAACTGCACATATTCAAGTAAATTTTGATAATTTATAGTATACCACTAGACACAGTTTTCTGTAAAAACACCAAGCTGCTTGGGTTTTGTCTTGGCAGCGTACAAAACTCGTCCCTAATTCACGGTATCTTGTCAATTATCCAAACACCTATCGATTTCTGAAGAAGTTAATACATGAATCTTACACAAATAATCATAAAGCTCTACATTCCGCTTCGATTCGTGTGAAAATTTGATTTAAAATTGCGTTCTTTGGTTTTTATCACGTCAAATTTCAAAAACTATTGAAAATTTTGTCTTCATTTTTTAACTGTAATCTAATATGTATAACCAAATACTACTGATTCTCCAAGTGTAATTTTGCTGCACTAGTGTTTTTCAACTTCAACATATGTATAAAAAAACTTTTTTTCACTAGCAGCCTGGACGCATGCAAATGTCGACTCATTTAGTGGTAGCAAATTCAACTTTTGCTACCACGGGTTCAAAAAGAAAAATTGAGGTTATGTACGCAATGTTTGATGTGATTATTTCTTAAAAAATGAACAAATGTGTGCTACAAACATTACTTGAGTATACGCATGGTAGTTGGTAGACGGTAGAAGATAAAATGATTAACTCAGCGACAAGTATAAACGATTTTCTTTGTGTTGAAGATTTAGATCAAGTTTGATTAGAAATCAAAACAAAATCACGTTGCGTCAAAAAATTGAACGTTTATTTTTCAGTTTATTGTCTTATGGTTTCTACTAGTGAAAAAAATAGTATATTAACCACGGTTGCAAAGCCACTTCTAGACCTCGCGCTTCAGAGCCCTCGACGCTGCGCGTCTCGGGTTCTAATTTGCGCTCGGTCTAGAATGTTTGGCTCTGCAACCTTGGCTAATAATATACTATTTCCTTACTTGCACAAAAGGTGTACTGAAATTTTTAGCATGCGAGGATTTTTTTTATTATTGAAGATTTTAAAGTCAATCAGTGACAAAGTTGTAGAGTATGGTTTTAAATAATTTTTCTAGGATAGAATAGAATTATTAATAATACAAGAAAGAAACTTACAAAACTATATATAATAAATAATAAATACGTGTAAAATAAAATTAAAAATTATTAATTAAAGATTTACAAAGTAGCTCATATTCCTTATTAAATTCTTAAAAGTAATTTTATTGATATTAAATATGTTGAACCTCTGGTCCTCTGCGAGTCTGTTGGCTGTGTTCCTTATTCGTCTAATTGGATGGTTTTGCGATCTTTTTGTTATCGACAAAGGAATTCTGAAAATCAGTTGACTACGAGTCAATCTGCTATCAGCAGGCAGCACAATGAAAGATAATTTTTCTAGGAAGTAGGCATTATCTATCTCACCATTAATAAGTCCTCGAAGAAATGAAATATCGGAAATTATGCGATGAGTTTCGAGTGAATTAATATGAAAATTACGCATTATCCAAGTGTAATTACCCTGATATGAGTTCGACCAAGTTTAAACTATAATAAGTGAAGGAATTTTTTCTGTACTCTTTCTGTTTTATAATTAGGATACCATATGGAAGAACAATAAAGTAGGTGAGATCTGACAAGAGAAAAGTATAAAATTTTTAGGGTCGAAATCGAAAAATTTTGACAATGCCTTCAAATAAGCCCAAGAGTCCGTATTGTATTATTAATAACAAAATAATAATGATTCTTAAAACCACACCTAAATCTTTGACTTCGTCAACACGAGACAAGGTAGAATTACCCAAATAATAGTCAAAGTTCACCCTCAATTTGATATTAAGAAATGATATAATATGACATTTGTTAACACTTAAAAGCAAAGTCATAAAAGATGTTAAGATATGTTTGTAATTCAAGTGCATCTTTCACGGAACTAACAGTTTTAAATACTTTCAAATCGTCCGCATACAACAGAAAATTGGAGTAACGAAAGCATTAATCATTAATGAATAGTAAATAAGGAGACGACATATAACCACCAATCCTAACTTGCTGTGATCTCTCCGACAGGAATGATGTTAAACATTTAACGGCGTTATTGTTAAACCTTAATTTACTCAATTTACAGAATAATAACCTATGGTTTACCTTATCAAAGGCTTTTGAAAAAATCAGTATACACGGAATCCACTTGTAGTTTTTTATCAAAAGCTGCATTAAGTAACAATAGCATTCCATTAAATTTGTGCAAGTAGATCTTTGTTTGCAGAAACCATGTTGTTTGATAAAGATGATAGGACAAGAAATCCACTCCAATTGTTTGGCAACAATGGAATCAAATATTTTAGGAATGGCAGAATGATTGTAAACATCGCTGTAATTGTCGATCTTATTACGATCCCCAGATTCAAAAATAGGTGTAACGTAACTATTTTTCCGGACCTTGGGAAATTTACCCTGAGACAAAGACACCTTGAACAGTTCACACAAGGGCACTGTACATACTTGAGTAAATGCAGTTCTTTAGCGGAACTTTTGGAATGCCATCAGCTCCATGATGGAAAGAATGTTTAAGACGAGTAACATTTTCAAAAGCTTCTGATATATCAACTTTCAGTCCAGAATCAGATACTTCATTTATACATTCAAATTCTTGATCAAAATCACTGTTAGCATCTTCTACGTAAACCGAGGAAAAAAACTCCGCAAACAAGTTAGAAATTTCAGTGCCAGTTTTAGCAAACTCCTGCCAATTATGCATTTCACAAGGAATACCACTGCCCACTACTTTTTTCCTATCATTAATACATTTCCAGAAGACCTGTGGATAATTTTCAATGCTGTCGGTGACTTTAGAAAGGTAGGAATTATACAGATTTTCGTTAAATTGGGTCCTTAACATTTTAAAATATTGATAGTCATCAGATCTCCCAGATTTCTTATAAACTGAATGGGCAATTTTCTTAAGGCGACTCAAATCTTTCAACTCTTTATTAAACCGTCGGGGGTAAGTTGATGAAAAATAATATACCCTTTTCTTAGGAATATATATCCATTCCAGAGAAAAACAAAAAAAAAGATTGACATGCGGTAGTGGTTCGATGCTGAATTTGGCTGTTTACTTTTTTTTCTTGCATTGATAATTTGCTGCGACTACTTTTCTGTTGTGCTTTGTATTATCCATGTTGTTGATTTCCTTACCAATTTTTTATTGGTCAAATTAAGAACGAGTAACCCCACTTCCTCGAAAATATGAAAAACTCGTCTTTATAATAATAATGATAAAATAAGACTTATAATATTCAGATCATTTTGTTCGATTGTGGCTTAATTTAAATCAAACTAATTTCTACGTCACATTCTTTCGATGTATAGACATAAATAAATACTCGAAAATGATGGATATGTATCATTGTACTGTACGAGCGAGGGAAGTTCTGTCGAACAACTTACGACCAATTTTTTTAATTTAGTTCTTGGTCGTTTTTTTCTGAATTTTCGTGTTTCTAAATTTTTATTTTTCTGCTACTTATCGCATCAAATTTTAGATTTTACTTCAAGTTTTGCCTTAGATTTTTAAAGGTAATAACAGTGATTCTAGCAATGTAATTGTG